ATTGTACGATAATATAGATGGTAACGACATGTATTACTTTCAAATGTGTGCATTTTTCTATCTTATTAAAAATAGCATATATATATATATATATATACATAGAAGTTGTATTAGAATTTTAATGTGAATAAATTGTATTATTTTTTATGAAGTACCATTTATGGGAAAGAAAGAGACGAAACGGGAAGGATCAAGAAGAATAGAGGAAAGAAAGAAGCAAATATTTTATTTTACTTTATTTATACTTTATATGAAACAATTGACTATTTATTGTGACTTAGATATACGTAACTATTACATGTAACATGTATTCTTCCTATGAGTAAGACGTATTTATTTTGTGCAAAACCGGTAATTTCACTTAAAGTGAAAATATTTCAAAATCCTTTTTCAAATGGAAATCGTTTCACACCTTATATTATTTTAATTAACACGTGCAAAACTCTTCAAATGATATTTCTAAAAAGAGCCGACACGAATAAACGTGAAATAGTTGTCGTCATCGCTGTTTTTCAGAGGAAGCACGTTACTGATTTAACACACACAAACCATTCGAGTCACATCTCTAAAACTCTCCCTTGGTGACTTATTACAATAATAATTAAAATCTATGCTTTTTAATTGTCATTCAAGTCATTCGTTTAATACACAGTCGGTGCTCGTTATATGCGGGCAAATTTTCGTCATCGTTTTATTTTTTATTTTTGACGAAATTGAAGATTTTTACAATAGTTAGAAACAATTCACATTCGCGATATGAAATTATTAAATACCGCTGATGTTTTTTTCAGTTGGACATAAACATATTATTATGCACTAAATGGAATACATCGAAAAACTAGTCAGTCTTCACGAAGTTATTACAAACGAAATCTTACGTTAAAAAAAAAAATAATTTCTTCTTACGCTTTATACCAAAGTTATAGCAAAAAGATATGAAAGGATGAAAAGTACTATAATTATAGGCCGCATAGATAATAAAGGTATTCTAAAAAGGTGTATAATCATCAAAATTTTATCTCACGTTAGTATCATGAAATGAATAACTCCTTTTTACGTTCGTTAAATCTCATATTATAACAATCTGAGATTTATTCCTTTAAACTCGTCTTCGACGGATAAGTACAGTGATTTTCTAATTCGTATGTATGTATGTATGTGTGTGTGTGTGTGTCTCTCTGTGTGTGTGTAGTCGCGTATTAAACTGTAATTATATATTGCATCTAAAAATTGTTCAACCATTATTTCTCTCGTTAGATGCTTTTTAACATATATTCTTGCTAATGATGTATTTAAGTAGCACTTTGTGTAAGAAATATTTTTCTGATTCAATGACCCACTGTTGTCAAAGGATAACGAAGGCATAAACGATTCATTATTGAATTACGTAACAATTTTAAATACACAATTGCAACAATAGAACGTTTTTGTTGCTATCGATATGATCGCTCGTACTACTTGTAAGAGATTTTCTATATTATAAACGAATTCTTGCGTAGGAAGATGTGATAATCTCTTTTGTGTGTTTTCATTATCACAACATACAACAATAAATTCGAAAGTGCCTCGGGTATAAAGCTCGTTCTTTTAAAATATTATATTTGTTTCATTTCTTTAATCCATAGAATCGCGTGTCGTTATAAATATCAATGTCTTCTTATCTAAAGTATATGTATATGTATATCTTACATAGAATAATTCCGGCGACTTACATAATTCGTTTTATTCTGTACAAATTCCTATTAAGTTTATGACGTATTTACAATCTCTTTCTATAATATCGTTATTTTGTTCTTTTATTTTATTATTATTATTATTATTATTTATTATTATTATTTATTATTATTATTATTACGCGTCTAATTTGGCATTCGCGCGAATTAAGATGATGTGAGTTTTTTCTCGCTAATTCAAATCCGTGCATCGCGTTTCTTGCAAATTAATTTTCTATGTATAATATGTATATATGTATATGTTTATGTATATGCATATATATATAATATTTACACTCGGTGTATAACTTCTAGCTTGATATAGCTTTTAGTTTTACAAGATAAAGTTTTCTTACGAAACGCCGCATAGTTTTTTTCTTGGATCTCTTTCAAATGATTGTATATTATCATGAGTTCATTTTATCGACAATATTGCAAACAATTTGAACGTATCTATCGACGATATTTCAATTATTATTTGTTAACACTTTGTTTGCAGCAAATGATTTGCGTCGTTTCAATTCTACGCAAGTTTAAAATTTCGAATATGAGTTTACGTGTTCTTCGAGTAATCAAAAGTTATAATAAAAAATGAATATATAATATCCGTATTTATCAGTCGATAGATTCGCGAATAATTACTTTGTAAAAAGTGATAATATTATGATTAGCTTTTGCAAAAGTTGATTTAGGTTTAACAGTTGACAGTAAACTCTTTTTTCGTTGAATTAACAGGAACGAGTAAATCGTGGTTAATCGAGGATTAGAAAAATCTCAACAACCGATCGAATAAATGAAAATTATTAGGAAGAAGATAAAAAAAAGAATTTTATTTTGCGGTTTAATCTCCATCGAAGAATCGCTAATCTGATTTGGGGCTGGCGATGGTCCACTTTGTCGAGTATTTGCGATAACGGTATGGCTTCTCCACTTCATCGTATATTGAGGTGCTGTTCTTCCCAATGCTTGTAATCTATATCCCAAAAGAAAATATTATTTAAATAATTCATTATATATTCTGAATGTTGTGTGTGTGTGTCTTATTACTCGTACTCGAATAAATAGAAATATAGTTTTAATTTTGGTATTAAACGAAGTCATTTTTGCAACGATCAGTATGGGTTCATCTCTTGTATAGATAAGCGCAACCTAAAGAAGTATCTTTTAAACGAGATAATATGAGAAGGTCGTAAAAAAACTTTGGGCAAAGTTGAATGGTTAATCGGTCGGAGTAGTTACCGAAGAAACTTACCTAACTACCGCGGTATTTTCCTTCCAAGGTAGAGTGAAATTTTTGTGCACGTCCCTAGAGCAAAATGTGTGCAATCTTTCACCCGCGGGATCACCGTTTTCGTTGTACTTATGGATCGTTAGATTCCATGCCGTACATGGTCCTACAAAAAAAAAAAGACAAAATATTATTAGATCGATTTTTATTTATCGCTAAATTCTATCTAGAATAGTAATAAATTCAAACACCGTGGGGGTGGTATAAATTTTGCTTAGAACAAAAGCAAAATCTTAGAAGAGTTATAGAAAACTCTTAAAAAAAAGAAACGAATGAAAACGAGACCATTAGATTTAACGCGACAACAAAAACTAAAGCTTTACTATACGAAACACCACTGTGTCTATTCGTTTCTTTTCTCGTTTCCTCCTACTTTTCTCCTACTTTCCTTTTATTTTCTCTTATTTTCTCCACAGTTTTCTTTCTTAGCTTCCCTTAACCACTATTTGAAAGAGTGAAATAGAGAAAGCAGAGAGATAGGAAATTACAGCAGAGAGACGAAACTACGAGCAAAGCTTCGCCAAGAGCGGAAAAGGAAATCGTTTTAATATATACCCTTTTATACCATTTTTTTTTTACGAATTTTTCTTTCTCCCTTTCAAATATCTCGCAGCAATACTTATATTGCACTTTATTACGTGCCGTATATCCTCATTTTTTTTTTCGATTTACGATATTTTTTTTTGTTTTTTGTTCGTAAAATATGTGATTAATTTCATATAGTAATCCCTTTGTGTATACACGTCATTCGAGAATTTAGAAGAATTTATTTTTTGTTCCCCGTTCATATCTTTTTTACGTCGTAGAGGATCGTTCTTTTTTTTTTTGTATTTTTACACAGGTACATACAAACATGAATATGTATTGTACATATACGAGCTTCGCAATCACTTTTGACGAAGCTTTGATCCTAGTCATGAAAATGTTCATTCTCCATATTTAATCATTTTATAGCTTGTTTCAAAGAGGATTTGAACATTTTATATGATAAATTCATAAATTCGAATTTTAGATGACTATATATTGTTATTCGTTTTATTTCACGTTGAAAAATATTTTCAATAGATCCGAGTCGTTGTATTATGTTACATAGAAAAATAGTTTTCATCTAGTTCTTTAATTACATTTTAATTATTTCGAAGAATAATCTACTTACTGCTCTGATTCGATTTCACTTCAATTGTAAGCTGTCGATCGGTAGGAGATTCCAAAATCCAAGTACACTTCTGTTGGTAATACTGATTGAGCTTTAAGCCAGCTTTTGCTAGATCACCGCCATTGACCTCTCCCTCCAGTTTTCTGGTCGTATGATCGCCGCAATAAGTATCCTTGACGAACTTATAAGCGGCACGAAAATTTAGACCTGCCAAGGAATATCTCGACCATTCGATATAAACCGGTGTCCAACTTCGGATTCCTACCGGTAACCAGTCCTGCACGTATTTACATTGATATTAGGGTTAACCAAAAGTTCTGTGCGTTTGTTGCGTTGTTGTTTCAGATATCCGTGAATTATTTACAAACGCACGAACTTTAGATTCACCCTAATATATATTTATAAAGAAAAAAAGTGCTGAAAGAAAATGTATTTAGATGAAAAAATTATTATTTCGGTCATAGTGAAATTTGATTAAAAAGGTAAGATCGTCGGGTGAAGATCGTTAGGGAATATAGTAATGAAAAGGAAAGAGAAAAAAGAAAAAGGGAAAAAATATAAAAGGTAACGACGAGAGATAAATGAGAATTCGTAAAGGAGAACGGATAATTTAGGTATAGGGCACCCGATCGATGACCTCGTCGTTTCGAGGGTATCTCTGGTGAATAAATTTTCAATGAAACTCTTGATATCGGGACGTGAGTGGCAGAAGTAAAATAAGAACGTTCGGTTTGCCACAGTAGAGAATAAACGGCTGCTGCCCTTAGAACATTTTCCGAATTAAACGAGCTCGGGGTTCAATGAGTAGTGCTTCTTCGAACTTTTGAAGAAAGCAATTTCGCGAAAGTAACGAGAGAGGAAGCGAACGAAAAGATAAATCGTCGTCGTCGTCGTCGTCGTCGTCGTCGTCGTCGTCGTCGTCGTAGTCGAGATTACGTCGTTGAGGATTATTTTTAAAGAAGAAATCAGGCTCGGATTACCTGATAGTTTCCACAGAGACAGGTGACGACATGACCAGTTTCAGAGACGAGCAGTAGATGATCCATATTCTCCAATGATTTATTACTAACGCAATGACATCCACTGTCGCCGCATTTCGTTTCGCACAAACTATTAGATATCTGTTTCGAACTACTTTCCACCTAAAGATAGAAAAAACAAATGGATTATTCCATTTGTCCAATTAATGGACATTTTAATTGTTTAGTAATTTAATACGTAATTCGTACAATGGTATATATATATATTATTATATTATTTTATATTATTTTATTTTTATTATTATATTATTTATTATATTATTATATATAATATTATTATTATATATATATGTTTTGTATATTCTATTGCGTTATTACTTTATTGATAAAATAAATAAAGGAACCTTGGACGATATTAAAAAAAGAAATTAAATGTTTCTGCAACACATAATAAATTTTATTTTCTAAAATTTCGTGCCTCAAAGGTTTAACGATGTCGCTATTTGTAATAATTTTGTGAGCGAACGTAATTAAGGTAAAGAACGAAGGATCGCGTATGTCTCGACTCGCAGTGTGCCATGAATCGTCCATTAAATGAATTTAATAGTTCGTGTAATGGGGGGAACGAACGCTTTGTTTTAATTGTCAAAGAGAAAGGTAGATAATTATTATTATTTTCTTGTTAACTTACGGTTATGATGACCGACTGATTTGTCGCGGGAATAAAATGTTGCTTGCATTTTGCCGGGCCCTCGACTGCGAACAATCGGTGTGGTTCTGGATGTACCACAGTCCCTTCCTCCAACGAAGTTAATCCATAATATTCGACGTCGCATAAGCTTCCGGGTTGTTGGGTACCGCCTTCGCGTTCTGGAACGTACAAAACGATGCTATATGTGCATGAATCAGAATCCTTCTCCACAATTTCATGATTTATAGGATTATTGGAAACGATTTATAAACCGTTCCCCATATTCCCAACGATAATACATTAATGATCTACCCGTTAATTGAATTCAATATTCACTGAATTTATGATTAAATGTGTGTACCATCTTTTTAGGAGAGATTAAACGATCTATTTTAATATTTTAAAGCTGTTATCATTTATTTTCCGTGAAAGGATAATGTATTTAATTAGGAAACTTATTAATCTTCGATTATTTATAATAATAATAAAATTGGTTTTTTTTTTTTTTTTTTTTACAGCGAGGCAAATATTTTATTTACAGGTCTAAATTTGCAATTAAAAGATTGGAAAACAAAATTTCAATCCGTTATAATCATCCACGAGGAGAGGACTTTCAACAAAGTTGGAAATTTATTTGAAAACGTATACGCTCGTATAAAATTTACTTTGAGAGAGAGCCAACGTTAAGGCTACGAGAGTCGTTTATTTCTTGAATGCAAATATAGTAAATGAAGCGTATTTAATATAGTGCAAGAGCGAGAGCAACATCGAAACTGGATGATGCAGCGGCAAACGAATGGACCAAGTGGCAATCTGAAACACGCCCAAGAGTCAATTTGTCTTTTGCAGCTAGTATACCGTTTTAACTTGATTTTGTTAAAAGTAAAGGACTAATAAATGGAACTACCCCTTTGATGGTCATCTTATCGTCAATTTCTCTAGCTTAATGATTGAATTTCAAAGAAAAATCTACGAGAGTTTTTATCTACTTTGTTATTATTTTTCTTCTTTTTTTCTCTTTTTTTCTTTTCTTTCATTAAAAGATTCTTTTAATTAAAAATATTAAACATTACACATTCTTTCATAGAAAACTTTGATACAACAAAAAAGTGACATATATATATATATATATAGTATTATAA